TTGCATGCATTATTTATGAGCGCGCAGTTGTTATTAACATAAACTATCTATAGAACATTTTGTACTACCAATTATAATTGGTGCTACATATTCATATCCATACATGCATACATATGCATGCATGTAGCTATTCAGGCGCCTCAAAGTCAGCATTCTACTAATAGTTAATTGCATATAAAGAATAGTGTTACTGGCAATTAAACGCATTAGCAGCTTAAGTTAGCTTAAGTGAGCGCAATAAAAGCACTCAACTGTCTGTCACGCAACACAACAACAAAACAAAAAACAAAAACTAAAGCAACAAACAGCAGCCAGCAGCCAGCACACAGCGATCATGTAAGTGATTTTTCGGCGCAACAGCTTGTTTGTTCGTTGATTGCTGGTGGTGGTGGTGACATAAGTAGCGCCCGCACTGCGCATGCGCCCAGTTTCGTTGCACACCTCGTAGCAGCTACATAGCTATCAACTTGTGTGTACTCGTACTAAGAGAAGTAGTAGCTATGCGCTTTTTAGTTAACAAAGCGCCAAGAGGCAAGCCAAGTTAAGTCAAGCAGGTAATAAAAGTGCACCCATAAACGCCACGAAGAATACAACAAAAACAACAAGTACAGACATACATTCATATCAGAGAAGCTGTGGCAATAAATGTAAGCGCTACAAAATGGCATGGCATGGCATGGCATAATAGTGACAGCAAAATCCATAATGTGTTGACCATGAACCAAGGCAGGGGTTCAGCAGCAGGAGCAGCAGCAGTACAAGCAAACAAAAACAACAACAACAAAACAACGGCAGTGTATGAGTGCAGTTAAAATAGCTGTTTTTTTCTTATTGTTGTTGTTAGCTGCAAATTGCAGTCACGTGTTTTTTGTTTTATTGCCTTTTTTTTGTTGCTTACAACATTTATATCAGATGTATTAGACGTTTTCGAGCAACAACAAATCACAAGCAAGCCATGCGAAACGTTCTACATAGCGTAATGACAATTACTTGAAATGTCTTGTCGCTCGGCAGCTTGTTTTGGGCAATCAGAATTTGTTAAACAAATGTTTGCCAGAATCTTGTTCTTAACGAAGTTAACAAGCGACTAACGGCGCGAGTGAAAAAAAAGTCGCTATTGTTGGCAATTAGGCAGGTGCGTAGTGGCAAGTGGGGGTTTGAGGGTTGAGAGGGGAAAGGAATTTGAAAAAAAATAAAATTAAAAAAAAAAAAAACTAAATAAAAAAATGTTTAAAGCCATAGTTCATGTGTGCTATTTTTAAAATTGGTATTTTAAAGCAGAAAAGGACATAAAGCAAAATAAAAATTTATTTGATAATTCAGTGGTTTTTTGCATACCTATTAAAACATTTTGATGAACTTAGTGAAAAATTGCGTGTGGATCCCACGCGCGACTGGCGTAAACTTCTTCTTTCCCGCATGCCGTTAAAATGCCAAAGTTTAAATCTATATTTTAAACAGGTGGCAACCCTATTCGAAAACCTAAAAAAATGTCAAAATGTTAGTCAGAGTTATAATCAGTGCGTGTGCCAAATTTCATTTAAATCCGTTCAGCCGTTTCTGAGTTGAGAGAAGTCTCGCTTGTTTCGTTTTTTATTTTTTTGATTTTAAATCACCCTGTACAGGTAAAAAAGTTTCCCATCTTAATGCCGAGCTAGTTAATTTGACGTCTCATTTTTGAAATTCGAAAGAACTGTGCCAAGTTGGTGTTAGCCATATATAATTCTTATCATTGGTTTGAGTTACAAAAAAAAACATCATTGTGACGTAATGCCCTCCACAGCGAAAAACTCAACTGTCGCCCCAACACCACCTAGTTAAATACACCTTGAACTGTGCAGATCTGATGTGTGCTTCATAAAAAATGCCTTCGAGCATTATATAAATAAATATATGCATAGCTGGATACAAATCACTTTTCGTGTAGGTGGCAATCCTAATCGAAAGTATTTTCAATCAATCCTAATCCTAATCAAAAGTATCAACTCTTGTATACTTTCCCAATAATTTACTTATTTTAATTTTTGTCGAATTACAAGAAACCTTATACATTTATCTTATAGAATTGATTTTAAAAATGGCAGGCTAGATCAGAAGAGCATACAATTTATTTCGAACAGAAAAAGAACTTAATTCAAAATCGTATACTGCAGAGTTTGTTCTCCGGTTAGACGTTAAATATCGAAAAAAAAACAACTCATTTGAAACAGCAGAAAAATTGGTTGAGGCATATCCATGGTCCTCCGTTCATAAAATTCTAATTCATGGATCTGAAGTAATTCATCCTGCTTTTTTATCTAGAGGTGAGTTGTCTGAAGAGGCAGCCGAAGCCACGAATAAAAATTATAAGCTGTTTACGCGCAAAAATACCAAAAAGATATCACATAATGTAACTAATGTCGATCTACCAAACAGATCTCTACTTTAAGATTTTTTTCGGACGAAAGTAATCAGCTCTTAAAACTGCCAATTCAAATGTTGTTGGTATAGAAAGGCTTACGGAAAGCTGTAGATTAGCATCTCGCCGTACGTTAATGAAGCTGTTGATTTTTGTGAACTCGATAGTCTTTTTATCAGTTGCATTTCCATAAGACTTATCAACTAGTTGAATAATTGCTGAGGCGAAATCCTTACACTATCATTACCTTTCTGGCAGCGATTACGCAATTTTATCATTAACTAGATCGCTCACTCACCCACTTTGCTGAGTGTATAAAATTTCTATGTGCTACATTGGGTGTAATTTATTTTAATTAAACTCAAACATACTTCAAATATGCGAAAATCAGGAGACTTAAAATTTTTGAAATATGTTCAAAATATTTTAAAACTAAAACTGTCTTGAACCTCTCTCTTGTGTTTAGAAATGAAGCCATTTCAAAATCATTTCGATTGATACCCATATTGTAATACCTCATTGAAATGATTGAAAATTTTGAATTTGAATTTTCAAACATAAGTCCCTGCTATACATATGTATGTTGCTTAGAAATAAAGCCTTTGCAAGACTCTTCGGATCAAAACCTAGATTGTAATAACTTAATAAACTTATAATTGTATTTGAAGTTATAGTTAAAACGGGTGGCAACCCTCTTCAAAAACCTCAGAAAAACTCTACATTTTTAAGCTGAACATTTCTAATTTAAACTCGACTTTTAAAACAGGTGGCAACCCTCTATTAAATCCCTCTTGTCTGCCGTCCATATTGTGATACATATTCCAATTATCAAATTCCTGTAATTCCAGAAGAATTTTTTTATTTTTCAAACAGGTGGCAACCCTCCTACATGTGGTTTAGAACTAAAACCCTTATCAAAACCCTTTCAATTGATACCCATATTGTAGTAATTCATTTAAACTAAATGAATTTAATTTTTGTACAACACCTCAGTAATATTTTAAATGTTCAATCTGAAGGCTTCTTAGCAATCTTTCATTTGACACCCATATATATTAATTTTTCAGATAAGTGGCAACCCTTTCCAGAATGAGTCTCCTCTGATCCATTTTGTAATATAATTTTCAAATAAATAATTCCCTTAATTCAAGTCGAATTTGATTTTTCAAACAGGTGGGAGCCCTCCTCCATGAGTATGGAATTGATTTTATATACATAAATGTATCTATACCAAGTTCCTGTACTCTATCAAAATATTTTCTGAGATATGATATGCGGTATGAAAATTCCGTTATATGGGAAGTGCTACGCCTCCTCGTACAATCGAGTTTAAATCTATCCTATATTTTAAGTTAGGCTAAATGGCACCAGTGTACAAAATTTAATGGGAATCGGTTGAGTAGTTAAAGCGGGAAAGCGTAACAAATGAAGAAACTCACTTTCGGACTTATAATATTATATAATATAATATATAATATAATATAATATAATGTAATATAATATATAAGCCTTCCACTTGGGCTTAAATTAAACTAGAATTCTCGACAACTCTCCCTGGAAATACCAACTGAGCACCTTGACTTGATGGTTACTTATGTAATTTGTTGAATAGCAAAAACTGATTTTGGCGAAGTTTGAGTACCTATTGAGCAATTAAACAAAAGGCGGTAGAATCTTCCACTTAGGCCTAAATTAAGGACTGAACTTTCAACTACAATCCCTAAAAAAACACCATCCCTGAACCTTGCCCCTTAGGTCACTTATAGTCATTTATTGAACAGCAAAAACGGATTTTGGCACAATTTTCTCTCTTCCAATAGCACAATATTCCAGTATTTTGTTGTTGTTCAATAAATGACTATATGTGACCATCAAAACAAGGTGAATGAATAGAATTTTCAGGCATCAAGTGGACGGTTCTATTACCTTTTATTTTTCTACTTTATTTATTTATTTTTTATTTTATTTACTCTGACCACGTTTTTCTCAAAATCTAAAGCTGATGGAAACTTTATACTTACAGATTCGTAATCAGTACAAAAAAGTCGATAAAAAAAAAAAAATATGAAGGCTAGCTTTATGAGCTATTTTAGTGTGATTATTTAGCTAATCTTGTTTTGTATATTTAATGTTTATTATTTCTTTTTTTTTATAAAAGTGTAGTTCATTATCTAGCAAACGCCATGCAGTCCATGTTTCAAACGTTTAAAAAAAAAATGGAAAATTCGAATAACTTGCATAAAAATGTAGAGTTTTTAGCTAAAGTTATTACAGTATGCAATTTTGTAGTCCGTTAAATTTTAGTATAAAGTTGAAATTTTTAAGTACCCAGGGCTTACCGTTAATTTTTTGCAAATGTTTTTGTTGAAGGTGTTGCTTATTTGCTTCATATACAAAGATTTTCTACCTACATACACGGTCGCACAAATAATTATGAATGCTTTTAGTAGGAATTACAACTCGCATCCAATAAGGGAATAAAAAAAAGCGGTGAGAAAAGATTGCCGATAGTATCGCGATAGTGACCACCACCATTCATCGATAGTGGTGACAAATTAAAACTATCGATACTATCGATAGTGCCATCGATAGTTTTGCAGCTCTACTCTGTGTAGTCAGCGCGCCGTTCCAAAGCACGCATAATCGCCTCATAGCTATTTCTTTTCCAAACGGGAATATCCAGCCAAATCTCCGCCGCAAATCCTTTCAAATTTAAAATTAACATAGTGACTTTGTCTTCCACGCTCCAGTTACTTGCTGTTGCCGCCTTCTCAAATTGCAGCTTAAACGACTTGAAAGGAATACTTCTACCGTCAAACGATGGACAAATCGTTGAAACAATCGGACGATTCAAGTGTAGCTGATGAAGAAAATCTTTCAACTCATCTAGCTTGGTCTCAATTTTATCCTGTCTCTCTTTAATTTTCTCCTTATCATCTTCTACGATATTATCCTGGCATGTTTGGATTTTTTCCTTTTTCCCCTTAACATATTCTGTGGTGTTCTCCTGTTTCTCTTCGATCCTCTCCTTATCTTGATGGAGACAATCTTTCAATTCATCTAGCTTCGTCTCGGTTTTATCCTGTCTCTCTTTAAATACCAGCGAGGAGACCTGTTCTGCTAACAATATTACACGCGATTCCTGCGCTTGCAGCTGGGATGAAATCTGTGCCAACTGAGAATCCATTTTAACCGATAATATGCTGATATCCATATGCTGAGATGAACAAGAAGCATTTTCTTTTTCAGACTGTAATTCGCCGCCACGATCTTTCAACTGGAGTACCTCGGTTTCGATTGTATTCGTTTTCTCCGTATCCTTTTCTTCGATGCTACCGTCCCTTTCTTTGAGTTTCGCGCTAAATCTGACTAAATTGTCTTGAAGCTGTGTAATTTTTGCATCCAGCGACGATGAAAACTGTGACATGTGTGCTGCCTGCTGCGATGACGATTGTGAGAATAGTTGCGACGATACCTGTGATGACAGCTGCAATACACGGGATTCCTGTGCTTCCATTCGCGCCNTCCTGTCCTTATCTTGATGGAGACAATCTTTCAATTCATCTAGCTTCGTCTCGGTTTTATCCTGTCTCTCTTTAAATACCAGCGAGGAGACCTGTTCTGCTAACAATATTACACGCGATTCCTGCGCTTGCAGCTGGGATGAAATCTGTGCCAACTGAGAATCCATTTTAACCGATAATATGCTGATATCCATATGCTGAGATGAACAAGAAGCATTTTCTTTTTCTTTAGTTTTGGTAAAACTCGCCGAAGAAACTGGACGAGCAGACTGTAATTCGCCGCCACGATCTTTCAACTGGAGTACCTCGGTTTCGATTGTATTCGTTTTCTCCATATCCTTTTCTTCGATGCTACCGTCCCTTTCTTTGAGTTTCGCGCTAAATCTGACTAAATTGTCTTGAAGCTGTGTAATCTTTGCATCCAGCGACGATGAAAACTGTGACATGTGTGCTGCCTGCTGCGATGACGATTGTGAGAATACTTGCGACGATACCTGTGATGACAACTGCAATACACGGGATTCCTGTGCTTCCATTCGCGATGATATACGTGATTCTAGTGCGTCCATTCGCGATGATATACGTGATTCCTGCGCTTCCATCTGCGCTGATATACGTGATTCCTGCGCTTCCATCTGTGCTGACGTACGTGATTCTAGTGCGTCCATTCGCGATGATATACGTGATTCCTGCGCTTCCATCTGTGCTGATATACGTGATTCCTGCGCTTGTAGCTGAGATGAAATCTGTGCCATCTGCGATTCTATTCCAGCAAATAATATGCCAATATCCATACTCTTGGATGGAAGTCTTATTCCTCCAAATCGATGGCTTCTGCGACCGTATCCACTGGCAACCATTATTCTAATTCTGTTTTGATTCGGGACGTTGGATAAAATTCGCTGTATGAATTTATCAAATTTTGTCGACGACTTCTTTACTTATCCCTAATTTCTATGACTGGATAAAATGCACAGAATTGCTGCAGTTTTTTGCTTTATTGCTCTTCAGTTATTTTACTGTTCAATAAATATTTGTTTCACTTGAACTTCACTCGATAGCTCGCTGTTTACAACTGATTCCCTGCCGACGGTTGTATCGCATTTATACATACATACATATATGCATACACCTACCTGTGCCTGAAAGAATAATATGGTTTATATTTTCCGTTACCTGCGCCATATATGTATGCAGTTAATGGAAAGTATCGTTTGGAAATTTGCAGAAACTGTCCATCATTGTATGCTGATGGTTTGGACAAAACTAACCCAATCAACACAACGAATTCGCCTCGAATACGAGACGAGCTCGTTTTCTCCGATGGAACTATCGAGACGATACTTCGCGGCGATAGATCGGTGAATTCGAATTCGTATGATAGTCACCTATCGTTACTAGTTTTTCGAATCGTTGGTGTTTCGAGAAATGTTTTCTTTTTTTTTTAATTTTTTGAATCGTTGGAGATTCTATAATTTTTATTTTTCAAATCGCTGGCGTTTCGATTTTTCCACTCGAGCTTTCAGCTCGCTGGTTGCTTGAGATTGTAATTTTTTTCGACCCAAGTTTTATAGGATTCAAAAAACTAGCTATCTGAAATTAATTCTATAATGTAAATGAAAAAAGTTAAAAAATGTGCGAAAATTATGAATTATTAATAAATTTATTAAAAATGTGAATCCTTATTTGATTTTTAACAGCATAAATAAACAGCAATTTTTGTTATACATACATATTAGATTTGGCCGGCACCGTGTTTCTTGTAATTTGATTTTTTCTTTAGCCGGAATTAGATTGGAAGAATTTCTTGGATACTTCATCCACTTTTGGATGTTAATTGCACTGCAGCTGAAATATAATAAAGTGGAGTTAAAATTAATAATTTATTCGCTTAAGACCCTGGGTGCCTTCCTATATATACATTAGTGAATGGTATCGGAGCCATTTATGTCATTACCCACGCCAAGCAAAGGTGCCCTTATACTCTCAGAAGAAATTCTGCTAAATATATTTCCCTCAATACATGAGATATTGGTAATAGTTACCAAATCTTGTTTAGAAAAAAATTTATTTAGGTGACTCTTATCTGAGTGTATGAGCACTCATAAATTATTTTCTTGATTGTGCCCCGAAGACGATGCAAGAAAAAAATTCTTCGAGAAAACTGGTTTACTCGAGCTCGCCTCGAATTCGAAACGAGCCCAAAAAAAATATATTCGAGAAGTTTATTTTCTCGAATTCGATACGATGGCGCCCTCGTTTTTGTGTTTATTGGGAAAGTGTTGATGCGTGTACATATGTATGTGTGTGTGTTTTGTATCTCTTACTATCTTGTGAATTTTGCGTACTTCTTATAACTAAAGGATATGCATATCAGCCATTCAACAAGCAAAATTGTAAGAAAAGAAAAGTCACATTAACATCCAGATTGCGATGAATATTGAGAAAAGGCAGCCCATTGTGTGCTCCTTCTCGGCCCATGCCTGCACATTAGCCTGCGCCTTAGTTGCATGGAGAAAATTTTTTGTTAAGCTACAAAGCAAGATTGCAATTTTCTAGGAATTCAGAAGTTAAATTTTAGCCAAGTAAATTTAGATCAAATTGATACGAAGAAAAAAATTTGTAGTAGCGAACTTTCGATGCAGTTTACTTCTATTTGACACATAGGTTATGGATCCACAGTCTCGCCCCTAAATTTCATACCGGAACAATTTTTTTTTTGGGGATTTTTGCGATTTGCAAGCTTATTTTGAATTTTTCCTAAAAAACGGTTGTATACAAACTTGTAGAGAATTTAATTTCTCACATTTTTTATATACAAACGTAAAAAAAAAATCATATTTTTTCGTAAATAATTAGCAAAAAGAGCGAAAAGTTTTTGCATTGTCACAGTTTTCGCCATTTTTTCACAATTTCTGATAAAAATGCATAGCATATTCATATGCCGAAGTTGTAGGGAACTTTTCTCTTTTAGTGTCGGGTTGTCCGGTGGCATAAAATTTGTAAAGCAAAATCTAATTAACGGTTAGTTTAGTTGAATTATTTTGCAAAACTATGAATTAATAGGGGAGCGAAGGGTAAAAAAATTTATGTAGAAAAAACGGAAATCTAAATTTTTGTTAATTTTTTTAATGGATAACATAGCCCAAAAAAAANAAAAAAATAAAAAAAAAAAAAAAAAAAAAAAAAAATGTTATGGCAAGTGTTAAAGCTGTTTTTGATAGATTTTTTTTTTCGTGTTGATTACGAATCCGTAAGCATAAAGTTTCCATCAGCTCTAGGTTTTGAAAAAAAAAACCGAGGTCGAAGTGTCAAAAAATCGCGGTTTTTGTAATATTTTAGAAGCGCTAGCAAAGAAAGAAAAGGTGATAGAACCTTCCTAGCTTAAACTAAACCTAGATCTCTCAACTAGTTACTATCTCTGAAGAGAGATCTTAAAATATTTTTTTTCATTATTATCTGAACCTAAATGATGGTTGAGCTTGTATAGGCATCTGAACCTTCCACAAACTATCCATAACTTGCATCTTTGTAGGTACAAACGCCGTATGTATGTACGTATATTTTGGTGTATTTAAGTGTGCACATACGTACATATGTTGCACACATCACCGGCATATTGTCCCACGCATTGATGTAAAGAAAGAAATTAAACGTTTAGGTAAGGAAAAGCAAGCCATGCGACTCAAGGACACTTATCACTTGGCTAAGAGATGCTTGAGTCCACGATTTGTGGTTTACGTTTATGTGCGCAGCCAAAAATACGAAATATTTATGTATGCATTGTATTTTAAATTTTTAATATGGGATGCGACCTTGGACAGTGTCTGGATGCGTGTTGGTGTTTAATGGAAGTATTTTTTGTACAGTAGATTAGTTATTTAGGTATTTATGTAGATTTTAGAATCTTAGTATAAATAAAGACGGCTACTCTGTAAGCGATGTGATTCTCTAGTAGAAACTCGATCGTGTCATTTCATAGCGGGCTGGTCATTCATGGTGCGTTTTCAGGCGGGTAAAATGAAAGCTTTTGGCTCTTTGTGATTATTCTGTTATTGCAATTACAGGTACCTGAGTTTCGATATATTCATAGCCCTCTCTATGTTTTTGTTTGATACAGAATTCAAAAGCTTTAGCCATTCTTCATGGCCTACTATGGTTTTGATTGATAATTTTTTGTTTAGGTTTTAGCAAAGCATGATATAAATAATTGCTAATTACGATACATAGTGCACTTAAAAACAAAAAAAAAAATATATGAAAAAGAAAGGCTAAAGAATAAGCCGTTAGGTTACTCCCCAAATTCTCACATTTTTCAAAAGTCCCTCGCATACGCTATGATAATCCTTTTTGTTTAATTCAAGTTCATAAGTATGGGGTACACGGGTACCACGGGTGTACATTAGTGTAAGTTATTTTTGTAACTACATAAAGGTTAAGGTGCTAGTAGTTTTTTTTTTTTTAGTAAAAATGCGTTATCTTTCTCAACATAAGCTGATTTTTCTTCTTCATGATTGCCGTAATGGTAGTAGCATGGAAAGTTATGGAGAAGACGAACCTGACACCCCAGTCGATGATGATGGATAAATAACAATTATTTTTGATTTTTATATTATATGTCTTAGATAACAGCCATTAAAGACTTTTATTTATAAAAGTCATCAATAAAAATCAGTCAGTGTTTTTTTACTTTTAAAAGTCATCAATATAAATCAGTTACCGACTTTTATTTTTTTAATGATTCGTATAAAAGTCATTAACATTTTTCGCAGTTAAGAAGATGTTGGGAAAGAAAAGTTTACTACGACTTATACAAATGATTTTTATTAGTATGATTTAAAAAATAAAGGTCAGTGACTGATTTTTATGTATGACTTTTATAAATAAAAGTCTTGGATAATTGTTATCTAAGACATGTAATTGAAAAAAAATCAAAAATAACTGTTATTTGCAGATTATTTAGTTAAAAATCAAAAATAATTGTTATTTTCGATTTATAAAATAAAAGTCAGAAATAACGGTTATTTAAAGAGTAATTAAATAAAAGTCAAAAAATAATTGTTAAAGAGCGATTTTTTTTTAATAGAACTTGTAACTGTTACGGACCCTGAACAAAGCTGCTGCGGCCAGGAGCTCCATGAGGTGCGTGCGTCAACTCTTATGCAGAATATGGTTAGATGACGACGCATGTCCGATGAGGAATCGACGTTTTTAAACTCAAACTTATTGGCGAACAAATTCACAAATTGTATGTCCCCTTTTAAATTAATTTATCCTTATGTCACTGCATTTCGACAGCAGCTTGTTTTTTGTTTTTTTTTTTTCAATTTTTCTTAGAAACTCGAATCATGGGTACGTGGCACAATTTGGCAACAAAAAAAATTGAGTTTTTATTGCAAATTTGTCTAATTTTTTGAATGTTTTTGCAAGATCCAAAAAAAAAAGGTGTGGGGGTGACGGTCGCCATTTGTGCCAACAACAAAAACTAATCTTCATTTTAAGTTAGCAAATAATTTGCGCAAAAAAAAAAACAATTATGTGAAACAAAAGACTCAAGCCACGAACGTGTTTCAACGCGCTTAATAGGAATGGGTGCCAGCACAACAAGCGGGCACAACGCTACAACGCTCACACATGCACAATGAAGTTTTTTTTATTAAATTTTTTTTTTAATTTGCGGGCACACAATCAGGACTGGCGATTGATTCGCAGTTCATTCATTGGATTGCAATGCGCACAGCTCGGCTTTATATTTTGAGTTTCATTTGTGTGCTGCTGCGGCTTTTTTCTGTCTGGTCAACCCAAGGTCTGTGTTTGGCACTAATTTTCTTAATAATTTATTAATTCCAATTCTTGCTTG